TGAAGATGTCAAAAAGCAATTGTAACAAAAGCAAAAATGACAAATGGGATCTAACTAAACTAAAGAGCTTCTGGACAGCAAAAGAAACCATCAGCAGAGTAAACAGACAACCTACGAATGGGAGAAAATATTTGCAAACAATGCTTCTGACAAAGATCTAATATCCAACATCTCCTAAAAACTTAACTTCACACAAGCAAAAAACATTAAAAAGTGGCCAAAGGACATGAATGAGTGTAAATTAGATTAACCATTGTGGAAGAACACTGTGGCAACTAATCAAAGACCTAAAGACCGAACTACCATTCAACCCAGTAATCCCATTATTGGGTATGTACCAAAGGGCTCTAAATTGTTCTATTATAAAGACACATGCACACCTATGTTCATTATGGCACAATAGCAAAGACATGGATACACCATGGAATACTATGCAGCCATAAAAGAAGAACAAGATTGTTTGCAGGGCATGGATGGAGCTGGAGGCCATATCCTTAGCAAATTAAGGTAAGAACAGAAAACTAAATACCACATGTTCTCATTTACAAATGCAAGCTAAATGATGAGAACACATGGACAAATAGAGGGGAACAACACACACTGGAGCCTATTGAAGAGTGGATGATGGGAGGAGGGAAAAGATCAGGAAAAATAGCTAATGGGGACTTGGCTAAATACCTGGGTGATAAAATAATCTGTATAACAAACCCCATGACACAAGTTTACCTATGTAACAAAGCCCCGTGTTGCAGTATAAAAGCCAAAACATACTAATTGTATTTTCTTTTTTTTTAACTTTTATTAAGTTTATGGTACTTCATTAAGTTCAGAGACGCCACTAAACTTAAAATATTCTTAACTTCTTTATTTTATTTATTAAGTTCTGGGATAAGCCTGAACTTAAAATAAAAGTTTAAAAATATATAATTAGTGTGTAGAGGCTTTGATACTGCAAAAATCATAAATGTGTATGGGGGTCTCATTTAGAAACAGTGAATTTAAAGATACAGTACTAACATTATCAATCATCATTTCAGTATACAACAAAGATGAAATATTGACTTAAAATAGGTTGTAACTTGCATAAAATTTTTATTTGCAAGAGAATAATTGTTCAAGGGACCAGAATATACAAATATATATGTGCTTGATGGAAGCAAAATTACTTGTTGGCCTTGGAATTTGTAGATTTGGTTAAAATTTAATTCTATTTAAGGAATCTTCATGTCTTGCCCTAAATATTATTCTTAGCCTTATCTTCTCCACATACCTATTCACTCACTCAGTTGAATTAAATAACTCTGTAATACCATTATATGATCACACCCTAACAATTGTGACTTGAGTCCTGTTGGGTCTTCCACCTTTTTAATTCTTTCATTTCCACAAGTCCTCATTTTATGTACTCCTTAACGTCCAGCTCTTTTCACCTACTGCCATCTTATTCTAGTTAGACATGGTAACTTCTTGCTTTGAACTCAGAGAGCATTTGTTCCTCTTTATTTCTCTTCCTTCCCACTTCCCATTTTATGGATTTTTTTTAACGTTATGACTTTGGTTCCACTCCTGGCAGAAATTATCATCTTGGTTGTATTTTTATGTTGACAACCCTATCTGCCACTCCTGAAAGTCATCTTGTTGTCATTATGGAACTTTGCATCCACGAAACCAAAGGCGGGGTTTGCATTTTGTACATAGCCAAACAATTTTGGTAAATTTGATTAACATTTGCATTCCTCACATAGCCATGAATAAGAAAACCTGCAAAGGGATTATTGTTCACTAGTTACTGCATACTTACTATGCTGTAGTCACTGTATTAAATATTTTACACATTGACAGTGTCGATTGCTACTTTTAATACCTAAAGAAAGCGAAGCCCTGAGAAGATCAATATAAGTGGCAAAAATACCGCTTGACATTAACATCATCTTCAAAATTCATATTATATGCCCTACTATTTAGCTTTATATCCTACAGATAAAATAGTGAATGAAAAACCAAATGAATGAATTAATAAGTGAATAAGTTAAAAGAAGACTCCTAAGTCCGAACTGTAATGTGTTTTCTAATGGAAGGAATAATATCAGATCAAGTTTGGAAGAATTTAATTTTGTCCCAAACAAAAAGTAGAGACTATCATTCAGGAGACTTCAAACCAAGATGCTCCCCTTATAATAGTTAAAGCACAATTTATAAAGCATAAGAGAAGAAAAGTTTTCACTTATCTTGTGATTGGCCATTATGCATTAACAATAATTTTAGGGCAAATAGAGATGTTTAGACTGCTTTTCTATAGCTAATTTATTTAATGTGACTGAATCAAGGTGACAAGCATATAAAGCTTACATTTGTGTTTCCTTTAGACAGCAATTTGGGAAATCTGAAATGACTTAAGTTTTAGCTACATGGATACTAGTAGTTGACCTTCAGGTGTATCTAAACTTTCGCCTCCATTTTTATTTTTCTGTAACACTAGAGTGACTCTAAGAATGGCTCGTGGATCTTTACCCTGGCTGTGCTTCTAAGCAGCTGCTTTGTCTACAACAGCATGAGCACCATCAACCACCAGGCTCTGGAACAGCTGCAGTATCCTTCCAGGAAGTGAAGAGCCAGGTTTTATGGAGTTTAGGGAAATGGAAACTGAAACTGTGTCTTCTTTGCTGTGACCCAGTTGTCCTGGTTGAGTAAGAAGAGACACAGTGCAAAAGGGAATGTTTATCAAACTTGTTTCTAAGTGAGATGTTGAAATAATGGTGTAGGGTGTTACTCCTTAGCTAAGATCCCAGCTATGTAATTGAACTAACAGAGTTAATCAGGGCAAAATCCTGCCCCAGGACTGATGAAGTTGAGGACCCAGTGAGTTTGTGAGTTTCTTTCCAGACTTTATTTGGGCTGTTCGAGATTTTACCCTGGAGCTGAAGTTAGATGGACACCCCATCACAGAAGATGAGTACCTGGAGAATGCCTTGAAGCTGATTCCAGGTATCGGAGCACGGCCTGGATAAGGAAAGGTTCAGTAGTGGGTGGGTTCAACTAAGACCTGCCATTCAGCACCTGACACAAATTTTTATATTAGACTGGATAGAGGCCCATGCTCATGGTATTTGGTGATCACCAATATGATTCTTGTGGTTATTTTTACTTGAAATTTCCCAGAGGTTGAAGTTTCAATTCACTGAAGAAGTTCAAAACTCAAAGTTCAATCAAATGATTTTAGACCAATAAGTACCATAAAAAATATATTGAGGATTACAATTAATATTATCACATCCTAAGACTCATATATTTGTGTTACTTATTAACTTCAAGGGTTCTTCCTATTCTATTTGGAGAAAATTAACTAATAATTTGGAAGTTCACAAACACAGAATCACAAGAAGTCAAATGATCTAATTTTGGAAATACATTTCACTCTGTCTATTTTATTAGCCTGGATGGTTATATCTTTTACAGAAAAATAAAAAAGATTTATACAGTAAATGATTCAGGCAATTAAAAAATACACTGACATATGCTTCCAGTAAGACTGTCAAATCCTTCATTTCACTGTTTTCATAACATCACCTACTTCATTCTACAGACTCTTACAATATATTGTCAATCTATTATACATTTGTTAAATGGATTGTATTTAGCAGAGTGGATACCTGTTGGTACCTACAATATCCATCTTTGTTCATTTATTCATCCTTTCAACAAAAGTTTGTTTTGAGTAATCTGTATATGCCCCAGAATCCCTCTGCAAGACAATGTCAGACCTAATACAATCTGACCTGCATATTTTTTGTCTCTATCCAACATTATCCCCAGCCACATCTTGTCCTCGTTTTTAGCAGTTACTTTATTTTTAAGCCCAACATTTCATTTCTGACATGGGAAGAGTAAGATTGAGAAAGTGTGTGATGCTATGTAAAATTAGCCAGAAGCAGGAAGAAGAATACTACAATATCTCATTTATATATGGATTCTATTTTAAAATGTGAAATACATAGAAACAGAGAGAAAACAGTGGTTACCAGGGCATGGTGAGGGAGGAAATGAGGACATGTGGGTGAAGGGTACAAACTTGAAGTTATACAGCATGTAAAAGTCTAGGGTCTAATATACGGCATGAGAACTATCATTATCAATATTGTATTTTACATTTAAAATTTATGGAGATGGGATTTTAGGTACTCTTACCAAAAAAAAGAGGTGGGGGATAAAGGAAAGTAAGTTTGGAAAATGTTAGATATATAATTTATAATTTGCTTACTTAATAATAATTTCACTATGTACATGTATATTGAAACATCATATTATAACACTACAAATATATACAATTTTAAAAGAAAAAAAGTACCTTTTTTTTTTCTGTTGCAGTTTTGCTCTTGTTACCTTAGCTGGAGTGCAATGGCGTGATCTCAGCTCACCGCAACCTCCGCTTCCTGAGCTCAGGCAATTCTCCTGCCTTAGCCTCCTGAGTAGCTGGGATTACAGGCACATGCCACCATACCCAGCTAATTTTTTGTATTTTTAGTATTGACGGTGTTTCACCATGTTGACCAGGATGGTCGTGATCTCTTGACCTCTTGACCCACTCACCTCGGCCTCCCAAAGTGCTGGGATTACAGGCTTGAGCCACCACGTTCAGCCAAGAAAGTACTTCTTATCATATTTTAGTTAGTCACAATTCAGCAAACATTTAAAAACCTGTCATTCTACCATATATCATACAGTGGCTGAAAAAACTAACCATAAATTCCTTCACTTAAGGTGGATGCCTTCCCTTCCTTTTGACTGTGCTCTGTGCAGAAATGGACATCCCGTACCTTATGTAGATTAGCCTAAGTTTGGTTGCATGAGAGGATAAAGTAGATTTGGAGACACAAGAGACTGTAGTGATTAATGCAAGGAACTCTGGATATGAAAATATCAGGCTTGCCTAAAAGCTGTTCTTCAGTAGTCAATTTTTCACTAATTCTGCAGGCAAGAATCCCCAAATCCAAAATTCTAACAAGCCCAGGGAGTGGATCAGGCATTTCTTTCCAAAACGGAAGTGCTTTGTCTTTGACCAGCCAACAAATGACAAAAAGCTCTTACTCCATGTTGAAGAAGTACCAGAAGACCAACTGGATAGTGATTTCCAGGTGCAATCAGAAAACTTCTGTTCTTATATCCTCACGCATGCAAAGACCGAGACCCTGAGAGAGGGAATCCTTGTCACTGGAAACCGTGAGTCTATTTCTCTATATGGGTCTTTATTGAGACCTACTGTATCTCAAAAACTAGTCAACTAAGCTTATGAGCACAAACAACTGGTAAGGAGATAACATCTGTGTTATGAAGTGTGGGATACATGAAGGGTATTTTTCTCAGTGAGGATATAAAAGATGTATTGTGAATTTAGACAAAACAGAAAATAAGTAGCATGTCGTGAGTTTTTGCAAGCCTATTGAGATTTAGAGCTACAAAATTCAGTGTAATCTCATATAGAAAATTGACTTCATGAACATGTTACCTGTGCAGTCTTTTAGTGCTCTGTGCAGAAAAGAGCTTCTCAACGGGTTTAATGTTCTGTCACTGTCTTAAGAGTCTTTATAAAGGCACCTGCATTTACATTCAGAACTATGATCCACAAATGATATAATTTATGTTGCTTAATAGTTGCTTTTAAATTTTTACTTAAGCAGAAAAGTATTATTTCAAGAAACGCTTGAACATACTGTTTGTGATTAATAATTAACTTTGCAATGTGATGAGTTGGAGAGAAAAGAAAGAATAAACAGGAACAGCAGTGATGTTATTGTAAGAAAGTGGATTCATAAAAAGTAGTAGTAGTAAGAGTAGAATTAAAAGAAGGAGAAGGAGGGAAAATTCATGTTAGGTAAAATTTTTTGTGATTTTTAGAATGCTGATGCATACCGCTTGTAAAACAATGAGTGAAAATGTTCTATCCATTCTCTAAATTAGGGCTGGGGATGCTGGTGGAGACCTACCTGGATGCCGTCAACAGTGGAGTGGTTCCTTGTTTGGAGAATGCAGTGACAACTCTGGCCCAGCGAGAAAACTCAGCAGCTGTGCAGAGGGCAGCTGAACATTACAGCAGATGACCCAGCAAGTGAGGTTCCCCATAGACACACTCCAGGAGCTGCTGGATGTGCATGCGGCCTGTGGGAGGGAAGCCATTGCAGTCTTCATGGAGCACTCCTTCAAGGATAAAAACCAGGAATTTCAGAAGAAGCTCGTGGTGATGTGTGTTTGTATTTTTTTCTTGACTCCTGCCTTTCTGGAATGATACTTAGAGTCCAATTTTTTATTGCCATGGTTCGTCTCCTTCTTGTGGCAAAAGGAGCTTGGAGTATTTTATGTGACTCAGTTTAATGGGAAACAGTTTTCTATTTTTCTAAAATATAGGAAATTGATTATTTTCTATCATGCATAAGAAATTATGATTTTAGCCCATTTAACAACACATTTATACAACATACTAACTACAGTTAGTAACAATGGAGTGCATTCTTAAAAATTACTAATACTATTTAAGCACTCTTGCCACAAAAGAAGAAAAGTATTTGAGATGATATACATGTCAATTAGCTTGATTTAGTAGTTTCATAATCTGCACAAGTTTAACAGAACTTTTAACTTGTACACACTGTTACATTTCATGCTACATTTCAAAATAACATGATGCAAGCATTATACATATACCATTTTTATTATTTTATTTTAAAAAGGTAAAACAAAGAAACACTTGCCTGACTCTGAGTGTCAAAAGAATGCATAAGCTCACAGCTCTGTAAGTCAGAAGTTCATTTCAGGGCATCTGTGTGCTCTGCTCAGTGTATCACAAGCTGAAAACAAGGTGTTGATTGAGCTTACTTCTCACCCGTATGCTCAGGGGACCCTCTCTCCATCTTCAAGTCAGCAAAGATGCATCAAATGTTTCTCTTATTTCTAATCTCTTTGGCTTCCTCTTCTGCCTCAAGGTAAACAAAAAAGCTCTGCTTCCAAAGAGCTCATGTGATTTGGTAATTCTTTTTTTCTTTTTTTTGTTTTGGTCATTTGACTAGGTAGGTATGCAAGGTATGTAGTGATGCCTTATTGTGGTTTTCATTTTCATTTCTTTCTTTTTTATTATGATACTTTAATTTCTGGAATACATGTGCAGAATATTCAGGTTTGCTACGTAAGTATACACATGCCATGGTGGTTTGTTGCATCCAACAACTCATCACCTACATTAGGTATTTCTCCTAATGCTATCCTTCCCCTCGACCCCCATCCCCTGACAGGCCCCGGTGTGTGATGTTTCCCTCCCTGTGTCCATGCGTTCTCATTGTTCAACTCCTACTTTTGCGTGAGAACATGCAGTGTTTGCTTTTCTGTTCCTGTGTCAATTTGCTGAGAATGATAGTTTCTAGCTCCACCCATATCCCTGAAAAGGACATGAACTCATCCTTTTTTATAGCTGCATAGTATTCCATGGGGTATATGTGGCACATTTTCTTTATCCAGTCTATCATTGATGAGTATTTGGGTTGGTTCCAAGTCTTTGCTACTTTGAACAGTGCCACAATAAACATATTTGTATATGTGTCTTTATAGTAGGATGATTTATAATCTTTTGGGTATTTACCCAGTAATAGGATTGCTGGCTCAAATGATATTTCTGGTTCTAGATCCTTGAGGAATCACCACACTGTCTTCCACAATGCTTGAACTAAGTTACACTCCCACCAACGTGTAAAAGCATTCCTATTTCTCCACATCGTCTCCAGCATCTGTTGTTTCCTGACTTTTTAATGATCACCACTCTAACTGGTGTGAGATGGTATCTCATTGTGGTTTTGACTTGCATTCCTTTAATGCCCAGTCACGATGAGCTTTTTTAAATGTTTGTTGGCTGTGTAAATGTCTTCTTTTGAGAAGTGTCTTTTTATGTCATTTGCTCTTTTTTAGATGGGTTATTTTTTTCTTGCAAATTTGCTTAAGTTGCTTATAGACTCTGGATGTCAGCCCTTTGTGAAATAGATAAATCACAAGAATTTTTTCCAATTCTGTAGATTACCTGTTCACTCTAATGACAGTTTCTTTAGCTGTGCAGAAGCTCCTTAGTTTAATTAAATCCCATTCATCAATTTTGGCTTTTGTTACCATTACTCTTGGTATTTTAGTCATGAAGTCTTCACCCATGCCTATGTCCTGAATGGTATTGCCTAGGTTTTCTTCTAAAGTTTTTGTGGTTTTAGACATTCCATTTAAGTCTTTAATCCATCTTGAGTTAATTTTTGTATAAAGTGTAAGGAAGGCATCCAGTTTCAGTTTTCTGCATATGACTAGCCAGTTTTTCCAACACCATTTATTAAATAGGAAATTTTCCACCATCGTTTGTTTTTGTCAAGTTGTCAAGATCAGATGGTTGTAGATGTGTGGCATTATTTCTGATAGGGTTTCTAAATAGATAATCATGTCATCAGCAAACAGAGACAATTGGACTTCCTCTCTTCCTATTGGAATATCCTTCACTTCTTTCTCTTGCCTGATTGCCCTGCCCAAAACTTCCAATACTATTTTGAATACAAGTGGTAAGAGTGGGCATCCTTGTGTTGTGCTGGTTTTTAAAGGGAATGCTTCCAGCTTTTGCCCATTCAATATGATATTGGATGTGGGTTTGTCATAAATAGCTCTTTTATTTTGAGATATGTTCCATCAATACATAGTTTATTGAGAGTTTTTAGCATGAAGCAGTGTTGAATTTTATCAAAGCCTTTTTCTGCATCTATTGAGATAAATCATGTGGGTTTTGTTATTGGTTCTGTTTATGTAATGGATTATGTTTATTGATTTGCATATGTTGAACCAGCCTTGCATCCCAAGGATGAAGCCAACTTGATTGTGGTGGATAAGCTTTTTGATGTGCTGCCATATATTGAGGATTTTCACATCGATGTTCATCAGGAATATTGGCCTGAAATTTTCTCTTTTTTTGTTGTGTCTCTGGGTAATTCTTAAATACTTTCTTGAGTATACTCAGTACTACTTGAATACTATCCATTTCTGAAAGCCAACAGATATCATATAATGCTACCTAAACACTAGAGTACACTCCATTGTATTAATAAGCCCAGGGACTATGGAAACCTGGGGGCAGGGAGGGGGAATTTTGGGGGATATCTTAAATCTGCAGTTGGCACTGTTAATGAATATTCTTTCAGTCTGTCTTTTACCAGTCCACATGTGACAGAAATCTCTCTAGTACCTACTGAGAAAACCCAGATGCAATCATAATTTACAAATGTAAGCAAAAAAATAATTATGTTCCCATATCTTCTCATGTTAAGATTCTTTTTAGAAGAATTTCAAGAGTTACAAGCTCTGTTCAGAGTAAAATCAAGTCATTAGTGGAAAGTGATTGTACTGGAGGGGTTGATTTTCTATGTACACATTTTATCCATAGCAATCCATGTTCTCTAAGGACACTACTGCTGCCACAACTGAACTGTCCTTTGCTTATCGTTCATAGTTAGATCACTGTTAATCGTCCTTTCCCTTTCTGATCAATTCTCTGCATGACCTGTGTAAAGTTTATGAACTCAAAGATAGAGTTCATAAACTTTACACAGGTCATGCAGAGAATTGATCAGAACTGGAACTAAAACAAGTTTCTGACTCTTGGTCTACACCAAATCTCAGTCCACTCTGAAGCCATCAGACTACTTCTTCAAAGAGGATCATAGTTGGACCTTTCCTTCTAACAGCTTCTTTTACTGCTGTTCCCTACATTTCTCTGGCAGGACTCCACAGAGAGAAAAAAGGAAGACTTTGTGTTGCAGAATGAAGAGGCATCTGCCAAATATTGCCAGGCTGAGCTTAAGCGGCTTTCAGAACACTTGGTGGAAAGTATTTCAAGAGGAACTTTCTTTGTTCCTGGAGGGCACAATCTCTACTTAGAAGCAAAGAAGATTGAACAGGACTATACACTAGTGCCTGGAAAAGGAGTTAAGGTGAGAAATAAGGGGAGAAGAGGATGAATGGCAGAGGATGGTCAGAGGGTCTTCGTTGCTCCTTCTGAAAAATCTAAGAGCACAGTACCATTTATGGACAAAAAGTGAAGCATGGTAATATCTTGATATTTTACATCTTAAAATCCGTAATTATTTAGCTACTCTTATAAAACAAAACTATTTTTTTTTTTTTACCAAAGAAGATTTAGAATCAGAAGTCCAGGTGGTCATTTAAAAGCTTGTGGCACCTCCCCCCACCACTCTCTTTCTCTGACTTGCTCCTGCTGTTTTTGTCATGTGACAGGCAAGCTACCCCTTCACCTTCCACCAGGAGTAAAAGCTTCCTGAAGCCTTAGCAAAAGCCATGTTTCCTGTAAAGCCTGAGAACTGTGAGCCTGTCAAACCTCTTTGCTTTATGAATTACCCCTGAACTTAAAAGTTAAATTTAAAAAAATTTAAATGTAGCTTCTAACTCTATACCTAAATCATTATTGTTCACTCATGCTGAAACAGCAGTGTCCAAAAAATTATTTTAAATGCAGATCAGACAAAAATAAATAGCTACTTGTAATGCTTCTTAGAAAGATACATATATCAAATCAGAATTTTTTTTACTTCATAAGTCCCTGACAGTTAAAGAGAAAAACGTGCTTAATTCTGGACTGCAAAGTCTTTTGCATTCTCAGAACCAAGCCTAGTACTGGTCAGGTGATTTCAACTCTCGGTGTTTCAATTTCCTCACAAAATGAAAAGAAGGTGACTGTCTAATATGTAAAAAGCCAAAATTCTGAGTATTGACAAGAATATGAAGCAATTGGAATTCTCACACATTGCTAATGAGGTATAAATCAGTACATCAATTTGGAAAACTGTTTAGTTTTCATTGCTAAAGTTGAAAAACAAATACCCAGTGACTCAGCAAATCCATTTCTAGATGTGTACATTCACTTAAAACACAGGGACAGAAATGTTCATAACAGCATCATTCACAATAACACCAAACTGAAATTTTACCCTAATGTCCATCAACAATAGAACAAATCAACAAACTAGTATATTCACATAATGGAGTCCTGTATCACAATGAAAATGAATAAGCTACAATCCCATAATAAGAAAAATAAATACATTACCCAGCCTTAGGTATTTGTAGCAATGCAAGAATGGCCTAACACACCCATGAATCTAAATTTTTTTTGAAAGAAAGGATCAAGGAAAATAACCACCAAAAAATGCCTAGGTTCTTCCTTCTGTGATGTGCCCCACCCGCCCAAATTTCAGTCACTCATCACATATTGTCTAAGGTATTTATGCCTCTTTTTCCTTCCCATGTGTGACTATTAAGTCTATGTGGTGTTGTATTTTCCTTCATTGGTAATTTCCCATATTTGATAGCCATGTTACTCTTTTAAAGTTTGGAATTCTTATAGTTTCTCAGGCCAGGTACAGTGGCTCACACCTGTAATCCCAATGTTTTGGGAGGCCAAGGCAGGAGGATTGCTTAAGACCAGGAGATTGAAACCATCCTGAGCAACATCATAAGACTTCCATCTCTACAAAAATTAAAAATAAAATTAGCCGGGTGTGGCAGCACACATCTGTGGTCCCAGCTACAAGGGAGGTTGAGGCAGGAGCACTGCTTCCCAGCAGGAGTTCAAGGTTGAAGTGATAGTACCACTGAACTTACACTTGGGTGACAGAGTGAGACTGTCTCAAAAAAGAAAAAAAGTTTCTCAACTGTTTAATTTTCAGTTATATTCCCCACTACTCTTGTAAATAGGCTAGTTACCTGTTCAGTCTTTAAGTTTTAACTTTTTTAATTAAATTTGAATACATTGTTTACTTTTAATGAACTATTATCAGCATTCTTAAAAGTTATCAAAGGTTAATAAATAAATAGCCTAGAAAAGCTTCCAGCAAGGTGAGAGCTATTAATAGATGTTATCCTAATTTAAAAATTAAATTTATATTTAAATTAAATTCCAAATTAAAAAGGGTAGACAGGCATTCAGGCAGAAGGAAAAGAAAGCAAATAATGCAAACTATAGAGGATGTGTGTTTGTAGAACTGCATAGAAATCTGGTTGTCTGTACCCTGGGGTGGGTGGTGAGCAGCATCGCTGTGAGAGGAGGCTGGACAGGCACAAGGGAGGCTGCTGCTCAGGGTTTTCATGTCTAGCAAAGAGCTGGACTTTTTGTTGTGGCTGTGGGAGGAAAGAAACCACAGTGGAATCTTAAGAAAAATGTGAAGTTGGGCGGGGAGTGGTGGCTCACGCCTGAAATCCCAACACTTTGGGAGGCAGAGGCGGGTGGATCACGAGGTCAAGAGATCAAGATCATCCTGGTCAACATGGTGAAACCCCGTCTCTACTAAAAATACAAAAATTAGCTGGGCATGGTGGCGCGTGTCTGTAATCCCAGCTACTCAGGAGGCTGAGGCAGGAGAATTGCGTGAACCCAGGAGGCGGAGGTTTCTGTGAGCCTAGATCCCGCCATTGCACTCCAGCCTGGGTAACAAGAGCGAAACTCCGTCTCAAAATAAAAATAAATAAAAAATAAAAAGAATAATGTGAAGTTTACAAGGTTAGATTTGTGGCTTTATTGAACAATAATTTTCTCATCACAAGGCAAGATTTCTGCTGCCTGACAGGTCTTTGCTCGTTCTTGGTTCCTCAGGCAAACGAGGTCCTCCAGAGCTTCCTGCAGTCACAGGTGGTTATAGAGGAATCCATCCTGCAGTCAGACAAAGCCCTTACTGCTGGAGAGAAGGCCATAGCAGGTACAGGGGCAGGGCTCAGCTCTCAGAGAAAAGGGTAGGTTTTGGCAACACCCGCTTGATGTTCAGAAAAAAAACCGTTTTTCTTATACCAGGAGCTTTCTTCTCATAGAGGACACATGCTCTGCTAAAACTGAAAATAAGGGGAGTTGGGATTGAACATCCAGCCACTCAGTTCCTTCCCACAACATTCTTAAACATGCTCTAGCTGACATGAATAGTGGGAGAATTCAGAGGTCCCAGTTCCCCACCTTCGTGCTTTTCTTAAAGTCAGTTTGGCCTCTGAACTCAGGAGAGTAGATCTCAGACCAGACTGTTACTTTCTTTTTCTTTTTCTTTCCAACTTTTATTTTAGGTCCAGAGGGTACACAAGTAGGTTTTCTGTATGGGTAAACTGGGCATCATGGGGATTTGTTGTACAGATGATTTCATCACTCAGGTAATGAGCATAGTATTCAATAGGCAGTTTTTCAATCCTCGCCCTCTTCCCATCCTCCACCCTCAAAAAGGTCCTGGTGTCTATTGGTTCCTTTGTGTCCATGTGTACTCAACATTTAGCTCCCATTCATAAGTGAGAATACGCAGGATTTGGTTTTCTATTCCTGCATTAGTTTGCTCAGGGTACTGGCCTCCAGCTGCATCCACAGTGCTGCAAAGGATATGATTTCATTCATTATTGTCTGTGTAATATTCTAAGGCATATATGTACCACATTTTCATTATCCAGTCCACCATTGATAAACATTTAGGTTGATTCCATGTCTTTGCTAGTACAAATAGTAAGCAGTGAACAGGTGCATGCATGTGTTTTAATGATATAATGATTTGTTTTCCTTTGGGTATATACCCAGTAATGGGATTGTTGGGTCAAATGGTAGTTCTGTTTTAAGTTCTTTTAGAACTCCAAACTGCTTTCCATAGCAGCTGAACTAATTTACAATCCCAACAGCAATGTATAAGAATTCCCAGGCCAGGCGCGGTGGCTCATGCCTGTAATCCAAACACTTTGTGAGGCCAAGGCGGGTGGATCACAAGGTCAGGAGATTGAGACCATCCTGGCCAACATGGTGAAACCTCGTCTCTACTAAAAATAGAAAAATTAGCTGGGCATGGTGGTGCAGGCCTGTAGTCCCAGCTACCGGGGAGGCTGAGGCAGAAAAATCACTTGAACCAGAAGGCGGAGATTCTGTGAGCCTAGATCACACCACTGCACTCTAGCCTGGTGTGCAAAAAAAAAAATCCCTTTTCTCTCTCAAAAAAAAAATCCCTTTTCTTGGCAATCTTGCCAGCATCTGTTATTTTTTGACTATTTAATAACAGCCATTCTGACTGGTGTGAGATGTTATCTCACATGGTTTTCTATTTGCATTTTCCTAATGATTTGTGCTGTTTAGCATTTTTTTATATGCTTGCTGGCCATGTGTATGTCTTCTTTTGATAAATGTCTGTTAATGTCTGTTTCTCATTTTTTTAATGGGGACATTTGCTTTTTCTTAATTTCTTTAACTTCCTCATAGATTCTGGATATTAGACTCTTGTCGGATGCATAGTTTGCAGATATTTTCTCCTATAATGTAGGTCGTCTGTTTACTCTGTCAATAGTTTCCTTTGTTGTGCATGAGCTCTTTAGTTGAATTAGGTTCCACTTGTTAATTTTTTGTTTGGTTGCAGTGGCATTCAAAGTCCTCATCATGAAATCTTTGCCATTGCCTCTGTCCAGAATGGTATTTACTAGGTTTTCTTTTGGGGGTTTTATAGTTTTAAGTTTTACCTTTACATCTTTAGCTCATCTTGAGTTTATTTTTGTACATAGTGAAAAGAAGGGATCCAGTTTAAATCTTCTGCATATGGCTACCCAGTTAACACAGCACCATTTATTGAATAGGGCATCCTTTCTTCATTGCTTATTTTTATCAGCTTTACCAAATATGAGACAGTTGTAGTTGTGTGGAATTATTTCTTCTCTCTCTAACCTTTTTCATTGGTTTATGTGTCTGTTTTGTTTTGTTTTGCTTTTTGACCAGCATCATGCTATTTTGGTTATTGTAGTCTTGTAATATAGTTTGAAGTCAGGTCATATGGTGTCTCTGGCTTTGTTCTTTTTGCTTAGGAGTGCCTTGGCTACTTGGGTCCTTTTTTGGCTCCATATGGATATTAGAGTAGCTTTTACTAATTCTATTTTTTTAAAAGTTATTGACAGTTTGATAGGAATAGCATTGAATATTTAAATTAGTTTGGGCAGTATAGCTATTTTAATGACATTGATTCTTCCTATCCATATGCATGGAATGTTTTTCCATATGTTTGTATGGTCTCAGATTTCTTTCAGAAGTGTTTTATAATTCTCATTGTAGAGATGGTTCACCTCCCTGATTGGCTATAAACCTGGGTATTTTATTCTTTTTGTGGCTATTGTGAATAGGATTGCGTTCTTGATTTGACTTTCAGCTTGGACAGTATTGGCGTGTAGAAATGCTACTGATTTTTGTATGTTGATTTTTCTTTTTTGAATTCTGAAGCTTTGCTGAAGTTTATCAGCTGGAAGAGGCTTTGGGCAGAGACGATGGAGTTTTCTAAGTACAGAATTCTATTGTCTATGATGAGAGATAGTTTACCTTCCTCTCTTTGTATTGGATAACTTTTCTTCCCCCTTGCCTGAGTTCTCTGGCTAAAACTTCTAGTATTATGTTGAATAGGAGTTGTGAATATGGGCATCCTTGTCCCATTTTGGTTTGAGAGTGAAATGCTTCCAGCTTTTCACATTCAATATGATGTTGGCTGTGGAGTTTTCATAAATACCTCTTATTATTTTGAGGTATCTTCCTTTGATGCCGGTTTGTTGAGATATTTTATTTTATTTTTTTTTAATTTTTTATTGGATTTTAGGTTTTGGGGTACATGAGCAGAGCATGCAAGACAGTTGCGTAGGTACACACATGGCAGTGTGCTTTGCTTTTCTTCTCCCCTTCACCCACATTTGGCAATTCTCCCCAGGCTATCCCTCCCCACCTCCCCCTCCCACTGGCCCTCCCCTTTTCCCCCCAATAGACCCCAGTGTTTAGTACTCCCCTTTCTGTGTCCATGTGTTCTCATTTTTCATCACCCGCCTATGAGTGAGAATATGCGGTGTTTCATTTTCTGTTCTTGTGTCAGTCTGCTGAGGATGATGTTCTCCAGATTCATCCATGTCCCTACAAATGACACAAACTCATCATTTCTGATTGCTGCATAATATTCCATGGTGTATATGTGCCACATTTTTCCAATCCAGTCTATTATCAATGGGCATTTGGGTTGATTCCAGATCTTTGCTATTGTAAACAGTGCTTCAATGAACATTCGTGTACATGTGTCCTTATAGTAGAACGATTTATAGTCTTTTGGATATATACCCAGTAATGGGATTGCTGGGTCAAATGGAATTTCTATTTCTAAGGCCTTGAGGAATCGCCACACTGTCTTCCACAATGGTTGAACTAATTTACACTCCCACCAACAGTGTAAAAGTGTTTCTTTTTCTCCACATGCTCTCCAGCATCTGTTGTCTCCAGATTTTTTAATGATCGCCATTCTAACTGGCGTGAGATGGTATCTCAGTGTGGTTTTGATTTGCATCCCTCTGATGACCAGTGACGATGAGCATTTTTTCATATGATTGTTGGCCTCATATATGTCTTCTTTCGTAAAGTATCTGTTCATATCCTTTGCCCACTTTTGAATGGACTTGTTTGTTTTTTTCCTGTAAATCTGTTTGAGTTCATGAAAGTTGCTGAATTTTATCAAAGGCCTTTTCTGTGTCCATTGAGATGATCATGTGGTTTTTGTTCTGAGTCCATTTATGTGAGGGATCAATTTATTGATTAGCATATGCTGAATCAACCTTGGATTTCAGGAATAAAGCCTAATTGACAGTGGTGGAGTCACTTTTTAACATGCTGTTGGATTTGGGTTTGCTAGCATTTTGTTGAAGATTTTTTCATCCATGTTCGTCAGGAATATTGTCCTGTAGTTTTGTTGTTGTTATTATGTCTGTACTGAGTTTTTAAAATCAGAATGATGCTGGCCTTATAGGATGTATTAGGGAAGATTCCCTCCTCCTCAGTTTTTGCAATGGTTAAGTAGAATTGGTACCAGCTCTTCTTTACATGTCTGGTGGAATTGGCTATGAATCTGTCTGGTCCAGGGCTTTTTCTGCTTGGTAGGCTTTTTATTACTGACTCAGTTTCAGAACTCGATATTAGTCTGTTTCAGATTTCAGTTTCTTCCTGGTTCACTTTTGGGAAGTTGTATGTTTCCAGGAATTGATCCATTTCTTCTAGGTTTTTTAGTTAGCGTGCATGGTGGTGCTAATTATAGTTTCTGAGGATTTGTATTTCTGTGGAGTTCGTGGTAATGTTCCTTTTGTTGTTTTTTATTATGTTTATTTGGATCTTGTCTTTTATTGTTCTTTTTGTTAGTCTTACTAGAAATATATCCATCTTATATATTCTTCCAAAGAACCATTGGTTTCATTGATCTTTTGTATGGTTTTTCTTGTCTCCATTTTGTTCGGTTCAAGTCAATTTTGGTTATTTTTTGTCTTCTGCTACCTTTGTGCTTGGTTCACTCTTGCTTCTCTAGTTCCTTTAGGTGTGATGTTAGGTTGTTAATTTGAAATATTTCTAACTTTTTGCTGTAGTCGTTTAGTGCTATTAACATTACTCTTAACACTACTCTAGCTGTGTCTCACAGATTCTGGTATGTTGTATCTTTGTTTTTATTAATTTCAAATAATTTATTTCTGTCTTAAATTCACTGTTTACCCCAAAATCATTCAGGAGATTGTTTAATTTCCATGGAGTTGTGTGGTTTTGAGAGATATTCTTTGTATTGATTTCTGTTTTTATTGCACTGTTGTCTGAGTACCTTGGTATGATTTTGGGTTTTTTTAATTTGTTGAATATTGCTTTATGATGGAGCATGGGGTCAACTTTAGAATATGTGCCATGTGCCGATGAGATCAATGTATATGCTGTTATTGCTGGGTGGAGTGTTCTGTAGATTTCTGTTAGGCATTTTATTCAAGTGTCATGTTGAGTCCTGAATATCTTTGTTAGTTTTTTCACTCAATTATCTGTCTAATATTGTCAATGGGGTGTTGAAGACTAACACTATTATTGGGTGGTTATCTAAGTCTCATCATAGGGCTCTTTGAACTTATTTTATGAATTTAGGATTCTCTAGTATTGGGTGAATATATTTTGCATAGTTAAGTCTTCTCATTGAATTGAAACTTTTATCATTCTGTAATGCCTATTTTTATCCTTTTTGATTATTATTGGTTTGGAGTCTGTTTTGTCTGAAATAAGAATAGCAACCTCTGCTCTTTTTGTTTTCCATTTGCTTGATAGATTTTTCTTCATCCCTTTACTCTGAACCTATTGGTATAATTGCATATGAGATTGGTCTCTTGAACATAGAACACAGTTGGGTCTTATTTCTTTATGCAACTTGCCACTCTGTGCCTTTTAATTTGGCTTGTTAGCCCTTTTACATTCAAAGTTAATATTGATGTGTGTGGATCTGATCCACACATATGCTCATGACATGACACGACAACATGTCACCATGTTGACAGCTGATTGCTATGTTGATTTAATTGTGTTGTTGCTTTGTAGTGCCAATGATCCGTGTACTGAAGTGTGCTTTTGTGGTGGCTGATAATGGTTTTTCATTTTCATGCTTAGCACTCTTTTCAGCACCTTGTGTAAGGCAGGTCTGTTTGTTAATGACAAATTTCCTTGGTATTTGCGTGTCTAAAAAGAATTTTTTTTTCCATTGAAGCTTAGTTTGTCTGGATATGAAATTCTTGCTTGGACTTTCTTTTCTTTATGAATGCTGACTATAGGTTTCCAGTCTCTTTTGGCTTGCAGGGTTTCTTCTGAAAGTTCTATTGTTAGCTTGATGGGATTCCCTTTGCAGAACACCTGCCCTTTTCTCAAGCTGCCTTTAATATCTTTTTCTTTCACATTGACCTTGGAAAATCTGATAACCATCTCATATGTGTTGGGGTTAGTCATCTTATATAGGATCTCACAGGGGTTCTCTAATTTCCTGAATTTGAATTTCAGCCTCTCTAGTGAGGTTGGGAAAATGTTCACGGACACTATCCTCAAATATTCCAAGTGGCTTGCTATCTCTCCCTCTCTTTCACAGGTGCCAATGGGTCATAAGTTTGGTCTCTACATAATCTGATATTTCTTTCAGATTTTGTTCATTCTTTTTTCTTCATTTTTGTCTGATTAAGTTGTTTTTCAAAATGAGTTTTCAAGCTCTGAGATTGTTTCCTCATCTTGGTCTATTCTACATTTAATATTTTTGATTGTATTATGAAATTCTTATAGCGTGTTTTTCAGCTCTATCAAATCAGCTTGGCTCTTCTTTAAAATGGGGATTTCATGTTTTAGTTCTTGAGTCATTTTACTGAATTCCTTCAGTTCCTTGGATTGTATCTCAACTATCTCCTGTGTATTGATAATCTTCATTGCCATCCAGATTCTGAATTCCATGTCTGCTACTTCAACCATTTCAGTTTAACCAAGAACCATTGCTGGGGAGCTAGTGGACTCATTTGGAGGTAAGGAGCACTCTAGATTTTTGAGTTGCCGGAGTTCTTCCTCAATGGTATAGGCTAATATTCCTTTAGTCTTTGAAGTTGCTGTTTCTTTCATGAAGTTTTTGGCTTTTATATTACTTTCTTCCCTTGAAGATTCAACTGGTATAAGTTGTGTTCAGTTGACCAGGCTTTTTTCCCAGATGAATTCAAGGGGCCAAGGCTCAGCTCAGCACCCCTGGGCTGTGGGCTTGAACCTTAGTAGGCTGGGACCAGGCTCAAGGCTTTGTTGTCTGGCCCTTCTAGGTTAAGCACCTGCTGTGTTGCAAAGGCCAACCTCTTCGTGGTTAATTGGCAACAGTATTCTGGTGTGGGGTGCTGGCAAAAGCACTTTCTTAGGGCAGTGGCAGTGTGGTCCATGGTCATGGGTGAGTGGCGGCAGCAGGGCAGCAGTGCTGCAGGTTCTGTGCATGTACATTGGTGGTCACACGTTGACAGGGTCTGCACACTTGTGTGCACCAGGAAAGCGGTGGTGAGAGGCTGCAAGCAACTGTGCACCAGCTAAACAGTGGGGAGACGGTGCATTGAGTGCACACTGGTGTGAGCCCACCTGCTGAAGCTCTATGATGGTTACATAGGGTATGTCAGCAAAGAAGATATAATGGTAGCTGTTGGGAAGTTCTTCAGTTTGGAAATTGAAGTTGTACTTGAAGTAGATGCAGCCAGGCAAGAACCATGAGACATGCTGACAGACTGGGAGGTGCTCAGATCATAGTGGACCCCTTCCACAGGCAGGGTAGCCCAGTTCTATCCAGGACCAACAGTTAACAAAAGCCAAAGCCACATATTGGGTATGCCAAGCTGGGAGTTCCTGGTTGTGCTCCACTGGAGCCATTCCTGTGCCAAATATCTAGGCTCCACCCTGGCCAGGGTCCTGTCCCTATCAACTCTCCAAGCAGTTCTCTTTGCCAGCTCAAATATCTATGGTAGTTATGGGGTATCCTAAAGCTGGGATTCCAGAGGCCCATGGTGAGAGTGGGCCACTTTGCACCAATTTCCCTCACTCCTTCCCCAGGAGCTGCTCAGGATTAGGGCTGAGTCTTGGTACTTGGCAACCTGTGCAAGTTTCCCAGCTTTCTTTCCCTTCAGCCTCAGGTCTGCATCCTTCTTTCATCTTCTCTCAATGACTTCCTTCTGAAGTCCTGCTTAGAGTGTATCAGTCTTTTTCATGGTCCGATCTCTCAATGGGAGAAGCTCTTTCTGACTGCATCTGCTTAGCCATCATAGTTCTTCTCTCACCTGACTGTTATTTTCTTCCCTCTGTGAAACCTCTGTGAAACAGCTAAGCAGGCTAAGAAGCAGGCAGCTGAGAAGGAACAGGAGCTGCTAAGACAAAAACAGAAGGAACAGCAGCAAATGATGGAGGCTCAAGAGAGAAGCTTCCAGGAAAACATGGCCCAACTCAAGAAGAAGATGGAGTGAGAAAGGGAAAACTATATGAGAGAGCTGAGAAAGATGCTGAGTCACAAGCTGAAGGTGAGTCTGAATGAAGCTTGGCAGTGCTTGAGGCACAATGCCAGTTCCTCAGTTAGGGAAGGGCCAAAGTTTTAAGCCCAGTCAAGAATCCAGAAGCAAGCACAAAAGGCATATATTTCACTTAAATTTCAAATACACATGAATTATAACGAAGCCTGTAAGTCTACAAGACTTCAGCATTTTCTGTCATGTTAGACTTTGGAGAGTACACATGACATCCCCCATGGTGCCAGGCTGCTGTTTGTGGTGATTATAGGATGGTCTCACTGTGCCCCAATTAATTAGGACCTTAGTCCACCCGTCCTTAGGATTCTCGGCACAACCATCAAAAGCCCCGAAATAGATCCATCTGGATGAAAGTATCGGTTTTGCCTTGATATGAAATGATACTGAATGATCTCAAATTGCTCCATTTGTTTCTGTATCTGCCTGACGCATCCGGTACAACCTGAGTAAAATATATTCCTTGTCCCAACCTGGAGCTTGACAATAAGCCTTTTATACAGAGTCCGTGGTCCCTATTATTTGCTAGATGAGCATGGCCATGCTACATCAGTGGAAAGGGGAATCCATTAGAATTAAACCTGCATTCCCTCTTAAAGGGGATTCATTGTGCTGAAACGAAATTCCTCCCCACATCCAGTGAGATGGTGCTGAGGAAATGTCACAATGGTATAAATTATGGATACTCCCACCATTCAGATCCAGTCATCTGGAAATGTCTAACAAACTCATCAAAGAGTTTCTAAGATGCTAGAAACATGTAAATGTGTTTAACTAATGAAATAGTTAAATACAAAACTCTGACTCTTTATAATTGGGGATTTTCAACAGTAGGCTCTTTTACTTTCATAGGTCCGAGAAGAACCACTTACTGAAAGATTTAAAGAGATATTTGAGTTGTTAAATGAAGAGATTAATCGACTGAAAGAAGAGATTGAAACAGCTGAAAATGAAGAGCCCTCAGTGTTTTCACAGATTCTGGATGTGGCTGGCAATATATTTATGGCAGTACTACCTGGGGCTGCTAAGCTGGTTGATTTAGGGATGGAAATTCTTAGCTCATTTGTGTAATAGGCTAAGAATTCCTGCTAAGAAAATTATAAAATAAGGTTTCTTTTGTTAAAATGGCATAACACTGTTGCTCCTTTTGAAAGTATATGTGTTGTTGCATTTTCATTTAAGAAAAGTTTAAAATTAAAAAGCAAATTTCAAAGAATATGGCCTGAAGTCCATAAAAACAAACTTAAATTTGACTGATTAATAATTTATAGAAATGGGGGACAAGTTGGAAGATAAAATTATTCCTAGAAAAGATTTAAGTAAAGCAAAAAGGCAAACAGTAAGATGAAGAAATCATTTTCAATTTTTATTATAGTCATGGAGATAATTTGTTATAATTAGCTCTTGTAAATCAGTGAGAAGAGAGTAACACCACATATCTTAAACAGGCAAAAATGTGATAATAATGCTAATTTCACTGACAATAAAAGTTGTGCAAAGAAAAACTATGAGGTTCTCGCTTCAATTTTTGATGCACAAGAAAGAACAGTTTGACAGGGCACTGAGCTGGCAAGGGTTTGGGGATATTGTCAGTGTCTCATATTTGGTAGTGAGAGTGTGAACTGTTGGAATCATATATGAGTTGTTTAAGTTCACATACATTTGATCTAGCATTTCCACATTTAGAAATCTATCAAAGAGATTGATTTACTCAAACTGAAAATGGTGTATATAATAGTATATATGTTGCACCATTGTCGTAATGCCAAAAGACTGAAAAAAACATTAAAGTCCCTCTTTCAAGTACTGATAAGGAAAATCTTGGGAAATTCTTGGAATACTCTACAGCCACTAAAATGAAGGGAGAGTCTCTATTCGAACTAATATGAAAAGTCTACAAAATGCATTATAAGTAAAAAAATGATTCAGGAACCGTGTATAATTACTACCACTGAATTTAGAAAATAATGAGCTTGTGCGTATATTATTATCTCCTTCTGGAAAAACAGAAAACAATCTAGTATACATGGTCATAGCAGGAATGAACTTGAATAGTTGAGGCAACAAATGAGAAGATAACTGATTTCACATCATATATTCTTCTGTTCCTCTATTTTTTATAAAGATTTATTGCATTAATGTTATATTTATTGCCCTTGTTGAGTGCTTTAGGTCAACAATTATGGATTTCATTTGGTTTTTACTACAACCTTGAAGGACAAATGTTATTATCTTCAGTTTGTGGATAATAAAAGCAAGATAGTGAAATTAATCTGTTTGTCCAAGGTCATTGGTTAGGCTACCAAGTTATGGCCTCAGCTTGTATTTCATAACTCCAATTCCACTACATAGACTTTAATATCAAGGAATGGAAGAATAACTCTTAAACTGAGTTGCAAGACATATCAAAAGCAAAACAAACATATAGTTGTCAAGATGAACACAAATATAATATACCTAATTGAAAAAATAGGATCTACTAAAGGATTTTATACTATTTACAAAGTCTTATTTTCTTGTATTCCAAATAGGGAGCCCTATTTAGTTACAAAGAATTACTGCCAAAGCATGGATTTGATCTTTGATCTAATTTTTTCAACATTTTGTGATCAAGCAAACTCTTATGAAAATCTCTTGTTCTTTCCTCTTCCAAGGCATTATGAAGCCAGAAAAAAAAGCTCCTCTGATTCGTGCACTCCAGAAGTCTTTCACTCTTTTGTCAATATGGTTTTGTCCCTCTCTGAGTCTTTCTATACATTTGTCCTCTTCATGCAGGCAGCATTAACTAGGGTGACTTTAGCACCATAAAAAGTACATTCGATTGAGGCACCTCTACCAACACCACAAGCGCATAGCCTCCACATCCATCCAGTCTCTCAGGGAGCCGAAAACACTTTCATATGCTAACCCACCAAAAAAAAAAAAAAATCATACTTTGTGATCTTCTGTGTCTTTAATATTTTATATGAACTTATTATTATGTCTTTAAACATGGATAAAACAATGATTGAAATTAAAAAGGAAACAGTAATAAATGAATGGGAGAGTTCCCATTATAGGAAGAAAATTATTTATACCACTAGAAATAGCATAAGTCAGCTCAACAGGAAAAGCCGGCTCATCAGAACAAGGGACTAAAAAGGGCACAAGACATGCATCCTAATTTTGTTTTTATTATGACCTTTCAATAAAGATTTCAAAGTTTATTCCAAAGTATATTTTCATATACAAAGACCCCTGGGCTGTTGCTTGGAAAGGTCTCAAAATGCTGTCTCGCATTTATAAAGACTATGAAATAGAAAGAAATTTTTTGTTCAGCTCAGCATTTTAGGAATTCGTATTGGCTCTCTAGTGCCCAGTGCTTGAAGAACTCGAATGAACTCCTTGTAGTTCCATAAGCTGGGCCTATTCCTTTGACTGAGAACCTGTGCACACGGGACACAGGCTTCTTAAAACCTTGTTTCCTCACCCTTTATCTGTTATCTCTCAACCCCTATTCATCCTTAAAGTGTCCTACTTCCTGACTTTCCAAGGCTAAATGAGATGCCCTTCTCAGTGTTGCCATGGCACCATCTTGTCACTCCTACCATTGAAGATGCCATATAGATGTAATATTAAAAGTGCCTATTTACTTCTGTCTACCACCTTTGGTCTCAGATGCCAGGTCTTCTTCAACTTGTCTTTAGTTCCCAGCACAAAACTCACCACATAAGCTGAGGTGTGGGCCAAATACATAAGCTACCCTCCAATACATCCCCAATTTGCCATATGTTAACTGTATTCCCAATTTCTAGAGCTCTCAAATAAAGGACACAATCTTAGAAACCGGTGCAGAAGGGAGTCACTGAATTAGAAAGAACATGCACACTTGTCTGGATCTACTCTGTTCTCTCTGAGGGACTGGACACCTCATGGCCCTGTGTTCCTCAAGCTTCTCACCTATGATAATCATCCCAGAATGAAGTTACTGCCTTTGGCTCACAGGGCAGTTACAATGTTTAACATAGTGAAGGAAGTACCAGAAACTAAGAAAAAAATGGGCTCTTTCAGCTAATAAACAAGTATTCATCTGCATTTACTCTTTTTTTATTATTTTGCTTTAGGTACATACTATATCTGGCATTTCTCCCCATGTTATCCCTCCCCACCCCACCCTCCCTCTCCACCCTCCTCATTTACTCTTAAACTATACATAATTCACAAAGTTTCAGTTGTCCCTGGAGCTATTTTTTGGTTCCCTGATACAAAAGACAGATTTTGTTGTTAAGCAGAAAAGAAGCAGCTGATTTCCTAGCATTGCTTCTATTTTGAAGTAACCCTGCTCTACTTTCACTTTCCACACACACATACACACACACACACACACACACACGCTGGCATAATACCTCACTTGTAATTTCACCTACTCGGAGCCCGAGAAAAAAAAATCACTTAAGCCCAGAAGTTTGACGTTACAGTGAACTGTGATTATGCCATTGCATTCCAGCTTGGGCAACAGAGCAAGAACTTGTCTCTAAAAAAGAAATAAATACAAAATAAAAATACAATGGTATGATCTACATAAAGATGTTATCACTGTGTCTGTATCAAGTGTGTAATAAATGAGTTACCTTCATCATTATTTATTATTTATTAAATGTTAAGCATCAGGACCTGGGTTAGGTGCTAATAATCCAAAAGTATATAAGATATAGATATTCCCTCAGGGCACTTACAGTGCTCAAGCTAATATCCAAGGTAATTGGACCTAAAAAATATATTATATGAGGCTTTCTCATCCACATGCTTCTCAAACTGGCCCACAAACATGAGATAAATAGCACTATTTTAAATAATGACCCAATGAAGGAATTTTAAAAAATTAATACTGCAAGCAGTCTCTAAGATCTTTTCCAAAAACAAAATGGCAACTTCCCAGTTGAGAAATCATGACAAACCCTCTTACTAGCACAGCTGCCAGGAATTCCTTTTACGGCTAATGAGTCACTGCTTTAGTTAATACTTTCTGTTTCATATTAGTTCATTCCTTTGCAGAGGTTGCCTCTTTTTCTTGTCTTCCACCAGGTCTCTGAAGAAAATCTGAGAAGCCCCAGACATTGGAGGAGCCAAGTAAAAGTTCACAGTTACTGAGAGAAAAAAAGACGGAGAAAGCAGTGCCACCACACTCAGAAGAAAAGAGAGGAGGATAAGAATCAACTTTCACATTGAAACAACCTTCTTTCCAACTCTAAAGGATTTCTGATTTAGGTAAGACTGGGACGGGTTGGGAATCTATTTACCAGGGTTGATCAGTTTTATCCAAACTGACCATTCCCACCATAGGAATGGTCAGACTACTTATGGAGGGAATGGTCCCTCCGTAGATGGGAATGTTTCCAAATTGTTATTTCTTTTTTGACATCATCTTAAGTTGACTTTATCATTATCAGTATCTGCTGAATAAAGTTAGGACTCCATTACATTCACTTTGCCACTTTTATGGCTCTAGGTAAAAGAAGGTAGGCAACTTGGGGTCTGCAAAGAGAGGGAACAAGTTTTTGTTACTGTTTTTGTAGGAGACAGAGTAGATGTTACTGTTATTCCTCTTAAATGGTTGAAAGAACATAATGCTTACAAAGCGCTGCATTTTCCACCAGCTAGTTCATCAGCCCTTTATTTCTTTTTTTTTTTAATTGTATTTGGGATCTGGAGTACATGTGCACATCCTGCATTCTGCAGGATTGTTGCATAAGTACACACATACCATGGTGGTTTGCTGTCTCCATCCCTGACCCCCCACTCATTGCCTAAATCAGGCATTTCTCCTGGTATTATACCTCTCCTTTCTCCCTGCCCCTGAGCCCCTCGGTCCCCCCTCCCCTCCCCTCCTTTCCACCCCCACCAGCTAGCCCTGTAAGTATTGTTCCTGTCCCTGTCTCCAAGTGTTCTCATTGTTCATCACCTGCCTATGAGTGAAAACATGTGATGTTTGGTTTTCTGTTCTTGTGTCAGTTTGCTGAGAATTATGGTTTCTAGGTTCATCCATGTCTCTACAAAGGACACCAACTCATCGTTTTTTATGGCTGCATAGTATTCCATGGTGTATATGTGCCACATTTTTTTTTTTGTCCACTCTATCATCAATGGGCATTTGGGTTGGTTCCAGGCCTTTGCTATCTTAAACAGCGCCACAATGAACATACGTGTGCATGTGTCTTTATGACAAAATAATTTAGAATCGTTTGGTTATGTACCCAGTAATAGGATTGCTGAGTCAAATGGAATTTCTATTTCTAGATCCTTGAGGAATTGCCAAACTGTCTTCCAATATGGTTGAACTAATTTACACTCCCACCAACAGTGTAAACGTGGGGAACAAGTTATTATAATTGTGGAACTTATACAATCTTTGTACACCTACTTTTCTGAGTCAGTCATTGATTTTAAGGTAGTATACATCGTGCTGCAAAATAAAACAGAAGTCTTTCCAGAGGTCTCTGTGGGCCATTGCTGTAAGAGAAAATGGGTCCTGATCACAGAAAAATAAATGGCTTTTTTTGCCATTGTCCCCTGAAGAGATGGGAAGTAGATAATTAGATATAAGACTTCAGTAGAGCAAGTCAGAAGTAATCAACTCTATATAGTAAACAAAGCACTCTTTATTATAGGATAAAAAGGAAAACTGTAATGCTTATAGTCTATGACTATATGTTATAGAAATTAGGCATTTTATATCACAATCATTTTAAATTACAGGGATTGAGATATTCAAGGTAAAAACAAAAATTAAGATGTTACTACAGGAAGGCTTTTCACTCGTTTTATTTTTATTTACTTATTTAATTTTTATTGTCAACTTTTGTTTTTATTTTCTTCAAAATTAGATTTTCACATAATTTATAGACTCAAACAATTCTGAGACTTATTCCAAAAAGAAATCCTCCTAGTAAACCCCCCACCTTTATCTCTTCTCTTTTTCAATAGCAACCACTTTTAATTATTTTAGCTGTTTTTTGTTATTTACCTCCACACATAAAAATAACAACCTTGTGTTTCCTAACTTTTGAATTTCCAATTTGAGGTATCATATAGGGAAAATAAGGATTTAAGTCGTACTCATCATCTCCAATTCCTTTATCACACACCACCTCACCACTATTACTACCACCCACATTCACACAAACTCTGTCCCATGATCCCCTCGATAGAATTATGTCATACTTCTATTTAGATTAATGCTCAGTGTTTTCATTAGTATGACAATTCCAATGTTACTTAGAGCATTGACACTATAGATATGAA